CATAAAGTTCATGCTAACTTTTGGTTCCATGCTATTCCACAGCCATGTCATTATTTGTGCATCTTCCTGTTCCTAGTCACTAAACCCTAGAGAATCAGAGGGTTTGTCCTCTCACACATGTTTTACTTTTTTCTTGGCTTTTGAAAACACCTCCACAGATTTTGCCCATGGCACATAATTCTCACCATTCAACTTAATAGATATCATTTAAACATTTAGGTAATCTGGAGAAATCATAACGCCTGTTTTATTGTCATTCCCATCTCGAATCGATGCCATCTTAACTAATTCACCTTACCTCACAAAGAAATYACTGCTATATGTAGAGTATTCACCTTCAAATATTCAGCACAACCTCACRCACTTCCACAAAACTTATCTCACTTTCAGCACCACCAACTTCTTCAAATACACATTACACATCAAATACAAAAGCTGAAATCACTCAGTCATTAAATCAAACACCTGTACTGCACACTGCAGAACCACTCACACCCCAAATACAAGAGCTGAAATCGCTCAATCATTAAATCAAACACCTATACTGCACACTGCAGAACCATTCACACACAAAATACAAGGGCTGAAATCACTCAGCCATTAAACCAAACACTTACACTGCACTCTGCGGAACCAACTTGTACTCAGCTGAACACTGTTCACCCGAACCTGCTCTCTTCATACCATCGAATAGAGAGCTTCCTACCAATCACCACAAACAGCCACTGCACCACAAACCAGAGGCATGAAGGCCTCCTACGGAGAAAAACGACCACGCTTTTTCAACCTTTCCCTTAATCTCCCAGTGGTTCTTGAGAAATCTGCAAAACCCTAGAGAGGAGGGTGATAAAAAAAACTGGGTAAACCAGAAATCTGCAAAACCCTTGAGAAATCTTGTTTAACTTGTTGTTATAGCAAAAGTCATGTTTTGCCTTTTCCATCTTCTACCGAACATGCTTGTACAACTTTTTACCTTATTCACAGTGATGTGTGGGCGTCTCCAGTTATTTCACGTTTGGGTTATAAATATTTTGTATTGTTTATTGATGATTGTATTCGATATACATGGGTTTACTTCCTTCGAAAGAAATCAAAGGGGTCTTTCCCTTTTTAAGAACTTTCATGCTGTGATTATGACCCAATTTAAAAGCATTGTAAACATTTTGAGGTCAGATTTAGGGGAAGAGTACTTTGATGATGAGAATGGTGAGTTTCATACATACCTCAAACACCATGGTATTCAGTCCTAGAGATCTTGCCCAGGTACACCTCAACAGAATGGGGTATCTGAGTGCAAGAATCATCATATTGCTAGTATGCTGAGATCCTTGTTACAAGACTCCCATGTACCCATTACCTTCTAGGTGGAGGCAACCTGCATTGTTTTTCATCTCATCAACATTCTTCCTACTACTATCCTTGAAAATCCTTCTCCCCATCAATCCTTGTTTCATCATCCACCTAATCTATCCATGTTTTGTGTCTTTGGTTGTGTCTGTTTTGTCCATTTCCTCATAAATGCACTAAGCTAACAATTCAATCAGCTATGTGCACCTTCATGGGATATAGTATGGAACACAGGGGATTTCTCTGTTGTGATCCCAAAATCTGAAGACTGTGCATTTCTTCTAATGTCATTTTTCTTGAGAACCTTTCATTCTTTGAACATATTAGTAAATTGTCTGCACCATCCTTTTTTGTTTTGCAATATTTTGGCTCTGTAGGTGATCCTCCTCCCACATCTCTGCCACCTCAAGTTTATTTTAGGAAGCATCCAGCTCACCCATTGCCTATGCCTCCACCTCCAGCACTAGTGACTAGTCATTCCTCTCCATCCATCACTATTGTAAGTTCCTATTCCTATCCTATTGATTTGCCTTCATTTGTTCCTTTGCGTTGGTCTTCTCATGTTTCTCGTCCACCGGACCACTATGGCTTCTTTTCTAGCCATAGCTCCTTCTCAATTGTTCTGTCGTCCACAGATTTTCCTAAGTCTTATAACCAGGCTATAGCAGTTAAGCATTGGAGAGATGCTATAGACTTAGAGGTTCAGGCTTTATTAGAAAATGATACTTAGGAGCTTGTCACTCCTCCCCTAGATGCCTCCATCATTGGTAGCCGATCAATTTAAATAGTTAAACTTAAATCAAACGACACTCTAGACAGATATAAGGCCCGGTTGGTTGCTCAAGGATACAAGCAAGAATATGGAATTGACTATGATGAGACCTTTGCTCCATTGACTAAAATGACAATAGTCCATTTACTCTCGGCCATTACAGCTCTTAGACAATGGACAGTTCATTAGATGGATGTCAAGAATGCCTTTCTCCATGGGCATTTATAAGAAATAGTTTACATGAAACCACCTCCTGGCTACTATGACGATCCCCTTATGGTGTGTAAACTAAAGAAATATGTATATGGTTTTAAACAAGCTCCATGAGCTTGGTTTAACTGCTTCCATACAATGGTATTGGAGGTTGGCTTTCATCAAAGTGCTTCAGATTACTCTCTTTTCATTCTCAAGCGAGCACAGGGGTTGACTTTTCTCTTGGTATATGTTGATGATAACTTATCACCGGAGATGATGTGAATGGTATTAACAATTTAAAGCTCCTTCTCAGTAACTCCTTCAAAATGAAAGATCTTGGGCCTGTCACCTTTTTTCTTGGGCTTGAATACAACGATGTCCTCAAGGTTATTTTGTCAACCAACAAAAATATGCCTCTAATTTGGTAACACTTGCTCGCTTGGCTGATTCTAAACAAATGGATACACCTCTGGAGCTTAACCTTAAGCTAAGCAAGGATGAGGGTGATCTTCTCCCTGATGCTACTTTATATCAGCAGCTTGTAGGTAGTCTTATCTACCTAACTATGACTAGATCGGACATTTCCTATGCAATCCAGTTTGTGAGTCAATTTGTATATTCTCCACGTCAACCCCACTACTCTACAGTTCTTTGAATCATCCATTATGTCAAGGGCACTCTATCTCATGGCTTGTTTTTCTCATCTTCATCATCCACCCAGCTTTGAGCTTATGTAGATGCCAGATTGGGCAGCTTGTCCTGATACTCGTTGTTCCACTACTGGCTGGTGTATATTTCTTAGTGATTCTTTGATTTCTTGGAAATGCAAGAAATAACAAACCATTTCCAAGTCATCTACAGAAGCATAGTATAGAGCAATGCCCTCAGTGTGCAGTGAAATAGTCTGGTTCAAGGCTCTACTTCATGACTTGGACATTGATCACTCATCTGCCATCCCCCTATTTGCAGACAACATGAGTGCAATCAAGATTGCATCCAACCCAGTATTTCATGAGCGCACTAAACATATTGAGGTGGATTTCCACTTCATTCGTGATCTTCTCCTTACGGGCATCTCTCTCCCACATATCTCCTTGGGCCTACAACCTACAGACCTCTTCAAAGCCTAACATAATTTTCTTATGGACAAACTGATGCTTATCCCCCAACATCAATTTGAGGGGAAGTGTAGAGAAGATGGAGGGTAGTTATGTAATTTTATCTTTCTTGTACTTTAGTAGGCGTGTACATTAGTGTACAGCTTCTTTAATTCTTTTGTAAGGACAAACTTGTCCATTCATATTTCTTTAATATAAATACTCTCTTTTTGGGTTGGTTCGATTAGAGTGGTCAACCCTAACAGATCTGGACTATTGGCTTTGCTCTTGTCTCTTCACTTTCTCACGAACTAACAACAATTCAGCAGAGCAGATGTGATACTGGGCATCCCTCCCATTTAGCTAGGCCTCTTTATATAGCTTTTTTATAACTGAGAAAATTGCAAAATTACCCCCTGTTTATGAAATTATTGTGATACCTAAACTACACCTACATTCTCAAGGATCTTTTAAGCTTAATTATATTAAGCTTTAATTTGATCATTGCTCACTTGAGGACCTGCGGCTTTTTGGGATTGATGGAGCATTTCAAGATCAAGGCTGAAGCATTATCATGGTATATTTGGGCCCTATAGGGAATGGAGACTGTTCTTGAGCAGAGACCTAGATCTCTCATTGGCCTCAGGCTCCTATTCCATTTAAGATCTGAAAAACTTGAAGTTGAGGGTGATTCTTAGGTGATTGTCAAGTGGATGCTTGGCATATCCTTGGTCTCTGTTGTCATCACATTACTGATTTACTAGGCTACAGCCTACAGCCTTGGTGTCCATAGCGAACACCTTGCTCAGATGGATTGCAATGGTGTCTAGGGGTGATCATGGTTTGGTTAACTGAACCATTGGCACATGTTTGAAATCGAACCCTATCAATCGGTTAACCTGTTGACCTGTTCACTTCTTTGGTTTTTGGTTTTTTATATTTATAATATATATCATAAATAAATATATAAATATATAATATAAATACAACAAATCTATAATATAATATTATAAATATATAGATATTTATATATAATGCATATATATACCATCAGTTCGGTTAACCGCCAGTTTTTCATATTGATTAACCAAAACCAAACCAGTACCTTCAGTTTTTCAAAAATACCTAACTGATCGGTTCAATTAACCAGATTTTTCAGTTCAGTTTTTCAATTTTTTGTGAGCATCCCTAATGGCCAATTCATTGGCTGAAAGTTTGGATAGGAGTGGTGTTGAAAGAAGCAAGTTGTACCAAACTTCCTCTATTTAGCATAGCTTGATTGTGTCAAGTGCTTTTTCTCGTAAGTAAATGTTTAATTATTGTTAAATGGGACTTATTCCAGACTAAGGCTTCTTGAAGACTCTGGACTTTTCTGATGATAAACATTATTAATAGAAAGGCATTGGTTGTATATATTTTATATCTGAGAAGGTACAAATGTACTGTTGAAGTTATAATACCAAAATTGTTTCCTTCTGACTCTTCAGATTAATTCCCTAAAACTGAAGCTTTGTTTATTCATTATGTTTCTTTTATTTCCTGTGTATGTTGGAACTTTATCTAATGAGATTTCTCTTATAATATCACAGTTAATGAATCCTGCTTACCAAACAATGCTAGGACATCTGCGTTCTCTGTCCCTTGATAATTTCAAGAACAGATTGGAAGGATTAATAAATAGAGGAGAAGGATTTGCCACATCTGTTCGTACCTGTACTCAGTCTTCCTTACTTGACTTTGATCATGGTTGTGAAGGTATGTATGAATTATCTTTTTCCCCTTTTCTTTACTTAAATTCCTTCGCTCATTTTTAGTGGACATGGTATTTTGTAAAGCCATACATGTTTCCTGAATTCATTCTGGTTATTTAGATTGGTGGTAAGTTTATTCCAAAATATTAATGTTAGTTTTTATGTTTCATCTCTTGTGAATTTTATTACGAGGTTTATAGGAAAATCTTACTCAGAAAATCCGGCTTAAAAACTATTGTTCTTGCAAGAATTTGTTGAGCACTATTGTGTATGTCATAAGCATTGCAGGATGTTTTAGAGGTAGTTTTTGAAAGAAACATTGATGGTACTTATCAAAATTTCCATCTTTGCTTGTTGCCAAGAGGAACAGAACAATGTTGTATGGAACATTTTACTCTAAGATTGTCATGGACTTGATTATGCATTTGTGATCCATGTGGTAGTAGGGATGAGATCAGTAATCTGTAGGTTATATTGCACCAAGGTGAGAGCAGTGTTGCATGAACTCCCTCATAGAATCAACATATCTGTGTTGAACACATGTCAGAGTTTGACACTCCATGGGTTCTTGAAGACATATTTATAACATTTCCTTTTTATTTCCTACCTTGACATAAACGAAAGTTAATATTGCAAGACTATTAACATTTTTCATATCAAATGTTACTCAATACATGTCTGTCTGCACCCAATGATCCACCTTTTCCATCTATAACAAAACTACATCCAATAGTATCTCTTCCAAGACAGACAAGTCCACCCTGTCATAGATGTTGGGAAATTGATATCATTATCTTCTATTTCTTGTTAGGCCTTTTTATTCTGTTGGGATGTAGCTTGTTTTGCTTGGGTCATGGCCCTGATTCTTTCTTTTATTTTTGTTTATATCTATCCTATACAACTTATAAAGAGCAGAATTTTCTTTGTATCTTATCAACTATTGGCCTTAATATAAAAGTTAGTGGGTTATCACATTAGGATCCACGATTGAGTGCTTCCTCTCTTCTTCTATTCTTCTCTTCTTCCTATCATTGCCTCATTCCTCTCTTTCACTCACCTTTTCCAGTTGATTTATTTATTTATTTATTTATTTGTTGCTGAAATCACAAGTTGGTATTTCTCCCATCTCTGCATGGTAGACCCATGTATGTAACCCTAGGATCAACAGAGTACATGGGTGTTTGAGGTAGAACTCGGGATGGCCCAAGTTAGCATTTTACACTGCTTCAGTCTCAGGCCTTGGGGCTAGGCCCATTAAAAATTTGACAAAAGACCAACCCGAGTCCACCCAAGTTGCACCCCTAGTTTGAGGTTCTAATCATCTTTCTTTCATGTCTGCTGCCTTCTAGAGATTTTTGGAGAAAATCGAACTGCTGCCTAGAAGGTGTTCCTAGTGTGCAGCCCAAAAATCAGAAAAATGTCAGAGATATCATACCTGAGGTGAGTTAAGGTCATTTAGGAACTATTAGGACTGGCGTTTGGTGTTTGCTTAGTCTCTTTTTCATCTTAGAAGAGATCAATCTCTATTTGGAAAGGTTCTGGAGTCCCTAGAAAGATTAATCCTTGTTTTGCCTTTGCCCCAATTGTGCCAAGGTTAGATAATGCTGAGAAGTATAATGTTCCTGCAACCCTGAGTAGGAGATTGTGTTTTGTGTAATCCTCCATCTATGGAAATGTTTTTTATGTGCTTGAAATGGAAGAAGCTATTGGAAGTGGTTAAAATAATCATTGGAGTTTGGGACTTTGTTGGAGGCACTAGGAAGCCCAAAACACTAGGATTATCATTATAGTTAAGCGGGATGGTTCCAAGCACTTTGAATGAGCCCAATCGATGAGAACTGGCATTGCTAGAAGAGGAACATTGTATTATAGGGGAGGTAGCTGAACTTGATTCCTCAAATCCTCAACATGCTCAATGGCTTCAGGGAAACTACATGATAATGTCATGGATATTACTTGCAAGAAAAATTGAAGAGATTAAGTCGAAAACAAGGAAGAAGAATGTCCGTGCATTCTTCAATATATGCAAACAATGTCAATGCATTCAAGGTAGCCTCTTATCTACTAATATTTCATAAATGCACCAAACACATCAAGGTTGATTGCCACTTTATCAAGGATTAGTACCTTGTGGGCAATATTACTCTTCCATATATCTCTTCTGGACTTCAGCTGGTTGATTTCTTCACTGAGGCTATAACTCATGTTTGACACCAATTTTTAGTTGACAAGCTGATGCTTGTACCACCGTGTTTAGGATTAAAAATATATAATATATATGATGTAAATATATATATATATAAGGCTTTAGGGACCAGATTTGACAGCTGCCAACTTCACATAAACTTAAATTTTAAATTATTCCGGTTATGGTGGGAGTTAAGCAACCACCCCACGTATGGAGAGTGGGGAGGTTGCCCTAACCTTCCTACCCATAACTGCCTCCTCTATATAAGGAAGAGAGGAGAGGAAAAAGGGGCGGCAGATAGAGAAAAGAGAGAAGAGAAGGAGATAAAAGAGAGAAAAAAAGGAGAGAAGAGAGAAAATAGAGGAGGGAACTCGTAGTTCTGCTAATTGAAGTGGTTAAGGATAAGTATACTCAGGTACATATCTTACTTTTTTTCTCTTGTCTTCTTTCCCTTTAAATTTTATCTACTTTCAATCCTTATCTTTCTTCTTTCTCTCTCTCTAGAGTTCTGTTAGAACTCAAAATCTTATTTCAATTTATATATATATATATAGCGGATTCTATCCACCACAAAAGAATGTGATAAAACAGATAAAAAAAGAGACTAGTACTTGGGAACCATTGTTCGTTCGGTGGATCCTATCTGTAGAGAAAGTTAATAGTGTTTGTGGTTCCAACCCCACACTTATTTGTCTTATTATGTTTTTATTTTCTTTTATAATTTGGCCGGCTAGGCCTTTTTTGTTTATCTCTTTTAATTTGTGTTTTAGTCTAAGTAGGGGTATTAGAGTAACTCCTACTCTTGTAAGGAGATTAGTGTTTATAAATAGCAAATAATGGGGCGGCAGTAATTTACACAACCAAACCCCTTCTTTCTTTCTCTCTTCTTTTTTCTCTCTTTCTTCTCTATCAAACCTGTGTTTCTTTTCTTAAATTACATCAACCACTGCAGCATTCTTTTTGTTTTGTTCAAGTTGGTATCAGAGCACGATCTAGGGCTTCTCATGCGAGTCTAACCCAGCCAACCACATGAAAATTACCTAGGGCTGGAAGATTAGAAAGGAGCTTTTTTTGGCCTGATTCTTGGAGGTTACCTGAGATCTTTAGCAGCTGTCCGAAGATTGGAGAGTGTCTTTTGGTAATCAGGAAGAGTCAGAGAAGGTTGAAGGAATCAAGATTGAAGGTGGCAATCAGAGTTTTATAAAGAATCAGAGTTCTCTGGGTAAGTTTTTCATCTATTCTTGAGGCCAGCAGCAGTAAGAGATAAGTTAGATTTATCTAGAAGGTGCGGCTGAAAAAAAAAACTAAATTTTCTAGGGTTTATTTTCAACCCTACGAACTATTTTTGGACTAAGATCTTTTCTTGTGAGAAAAAAACTGAGTTTTCTAGGGTTTATTCTTAACCCTAAGAACTGTTTTTGGCCTGAGAGCTTTTCTTGGAGGGTGCGGCTGGAAAAGATCTGCCTTGAACCTTTCTTTTGGAGGGTGCGGCTAAAAAACCTGATTGTGATTATTGGACTGATTATAGTCCAGGTTTGTCTACTAGGGAGTTGACTTTTTTTACTGTGTTTGCTCTCTTGGAAGGGATCTATTTGCTAAGATTAAATTCTGGGTTGTCTTCTCTAATTTTAGTGTTGCAGAAAAAAAATATATATCCTTTTTAGGTCTTCTTCTTGGATTTTTTAGCTTATTAGTGCTCTCTTGGAATGGAGAAGTTTGGAAGTGAGTTAAAAACACAAGGGGAAGGACTTTTTGGGACTGGTAACATGACTGAAAACTCTTTTCAGATTACCATTGTTAGATTTGATGGAACCAATTACTTGGAGTTGGCCCAATCAGCAATGATGACTATTGGAGGAAGAGGTAAATTAGGTTATGTGACTGGGGATACAAAGAGCCAGCAGAGGAAGATAAATCACATCCGAAATGGGTTCAAGAGAATTACTTAGTAATGACTTGGCTATGTAATTCTATGCAGCCCCACATCAGCCAAAACTCTCTGGGTAAAAACAGCCAAGGAGATTTGGGACAATATGAAGGAGACTTATTCCCCACCACTCAATGTTGCTAGGGCTTATGAGCTGAAGTGTGAAGTGAATAACCTCAAGCAAGGGGAGAAGCCAATTTCAATGTATTTTGCAACTCTGAAATCCCTTTGGCATGAAATTGATCACTTGGAAACTATTGAATGGGAAAGCCAGAGGGATGCAGCAACATATGGAAAACTGATTGAAACAAATAGAGTTTTTGAGTTCTTAGCCGGTCTAAACTCAGAATTTGATATTATAAGGCAGCAACTTCTCACTAGGGAGAGTGTGACTTTATCTCAGGCCTACTCATTAGTCTACAGTGAACAGAGTAGGAGGAAGGTTATGCTATTTTTTCAGCCCACAAAAGTAGCCTTGGCAGCAACAAAATCTAAGGTTGGAGGGGAAAAGGAAAGGGAAATTAAGAAGGAAGACAAAAGAGATTTTTTTTGTGATCATTGCAAGAAGCCCAAACACAGTAAGGACACCTGTTGGAAGTTGCATCCTCACCTAATGCCAGCTAGACTTAGAAACAAGAAGGGGAGTGCTAATGTAGCAACTACTACTGACAGTACATCTTCTTCCAGCACAAGGACCACATCCTTGGATGCTTTAGCAGCTGTCCAGGCTGCACTGACACAGCTAGAGAATGAAGCTGGTATTTCTAGATCTACATCTCAATCTTTAGCTTCCACACCTGCTCATCCTACTTCAGCCCTTGCTCATATAGGTAGAAGAGCTACCACATGTCATGCTTCTGTTCCAGGTAACACTAGACCTTTCTGGGTA